ATCTTCCCTGCCCTCCCACACACTTGACCTCTAACAACATTCTTTTGCTTGTCTTAAGACCGTACATGTAGTTTCTCTCTCCCTCTCCCCCCAAGAATGCGATCCTGGCCTAAGCTTTCTACTTGTATGTAGCAAGGATAAAACTTGCCTCGCTTGGCTGCCCCCTTGTTTGGAAACTCACCCTAAACATTTCCACATGGCTTGCACTCTTCAGGCACAGCTAAAGCTTTTTCTGCCTTTAAACACTTTCTATCAGAAAAAAATCCCTCTGCTGCTTCTACCTTGGGCTGCTGGCAGTGACCTAGTCTTGTTACTGTTTGCATTTCTTTTGTACCTTTCTGCTGTTGAAATCCCTGTGGGCCTTTAAATCTGTCAGCAGCCGCTACCAGGCTCAGTATGCAACTTAGCTCACTGTTTTCACAAGTTTCCCAGCCCTGAAAGCTTTCCAAATAAGCCATTGTTGGACAGAGTTAAAGAGGTATTGTCCCTGCATTGGGTTAGCCAAGCGTGAATGCAGGGAGCTAGCTGCCTTTATCGTTTTGTTAGTGCTACAAAGTCATCTTGCTATGGGACCCTGAGTGCTTCCTTGTCCTCATCCTGTTCCTCCCAAAAAAGTACATATATTTAAAATTAAGTAGGCAGCTGAGATTTTGTTCAACAGGACGCACATTCTCTATTACTCTCATGTGAGCACATGGAGCTCTAGCTTGTCTTGCTTGATTGGTATAGATGAACCAAACAAAAACCATTGGCATTTCCTTTTTTTACTGTTGTTATTCTTATATCTTGGTAGTGCCTACAGGCTTCGCTAGCTCTAAAACTACTAAATGTTAAACATACACACAGTAAGTGGCAGTCCTTACCCTCAAGAGTTTACAATCTAAGTAGCCTGGGGGAAAGGTAGTATTACCCTTTTACAGAAGAGGAATTAAGCAGTAGACAGATGTACCTTTCAACTGCTTTGAAAGGGAAAGAAGATTTGTTGCTCAGGAAGGCACATCAGCTGTTATGATATAATCGTTACGTTTCTGCTTGCCTGTAGCTGCAGTAAGTGAGCTAAAATGCTGTAGCTGTAATGCTGAATGAAGCAAAGTTCAAGTACACTGGCTTATTTCCACTTATACTCCTATCAGAACAAACAACCATAACAGTTATAGCATGTTTCATTCATCATAACATAGCATATAGTCTATAACTTTTATATATTGAGTCTCTAACTCTTATAAAATCATAGTAAAGTAAGGTTGGAAGGGACCCCGCCTGCTGTTCAAGGCAGGGTTATCCCTATCCAAACCATTCCATACAAATACTTGTCTGACTTATTCCTGAGACAGTACGCAAGTTGTGTTGCTCCCAAACATCAAGAGCATGCTAATTTGCAACAGGTAAAGCAGGGGGATGAGGGCACTGTCAGTGTTTGGTCACTGCAAGGTTGTATATCTGTCCACATCCAGAGAGATTAAAACCATGTCTATGTGGCAAAGTTATTGTGCTAGGCAGTGGTGCTCTTAAATGCACCATGCTGAACCCACAGGCCACCCTGTAAACCAGAAGCAGTGTAACACTGTTAGTACTATTGCTGAGCAGTGCTAATTGGTGTACGTGGGGCATGTCTACACAAGACATTTACTTGCCTAATTAGCTCCACAGTAAACATCTCACATCTACATGTACAGTACTATTAGACTGAAGAAAAGTAATAAACACCACAATAGGGTGGTACTTGTAAATACTAATTCAGAGTTATTTACTGTGCAGCAACACATATGTATTTGCTGACCTGGGAGTAAGTTGTGCCTGGTCAGCCCAGCCAGGAGGGGATAACACTCCTTCTTGCTGCCTAGCTACATGGCTTGACAGGTGCAGGAGCCTCACGGTACATTCAGCTCCACTGCCACTCAATGCAGCCACCTCCCATCCGGGCCTGACCCCTGTACCCTCTACCAGCCCAGGGCTGCCACTGGGACCCCAGGCCATACTGCCACTGCCAGTCAGAGTCCGGGGCTGGCATCTGGGCAGGTATGGCTGGAGCCTGAAACTTTTCTACTGCAGGGGGGCAGAGCAGGGCAGAAGCAGCCCTGGCCTAAACTGTTCCTCCCTGGCTAAATTTGCTGCTGACCCAGGCGCACATGTAGACACTGTGCCTAGAAGTAGTTTACTGTGGAGCAAATTGCTCCACAGTTTATTCAGCTGCATTAATTGCACATGTAAGACATGCCCCTGAAGTGCTACACAGATGGGGCTATAATGCTTCTGGTTTAAGAGACAGCTCATGCAGAGCACTGTTGCATGTTTGAGGATGCTGCTACCTGGCATAGTAAATTTGCCATGTTAATTATGACTTAAGTGGCAGATCCCAGATCCACAAGAGGTCTGTGGTAGAGTTGGAATTTGGTCTCCTGAGTAGTGTAGTGTCCTAAACCATAAAATGATCCTTCCTATTGATATCAACTTTGATAGCCATTTAAGGGATGTCTTGAAAAAAGATGATGAGGCCATGTTCCTTGCTCTCCTCAACAGATGATGTTGCCTTTTCCCACATATGCTGAAGATTCACTTTGTTTCATTGAGATTTGAAATCTGGCTTTTCCAATGCAAATGTTTATCTCTGTCTTCTGCTGGGGAATGTGTGGATCAGGGGACCATTAAAAGAAAAAGTAGTGTTTTAAACATGCATTGTTTCAGCTAAAGCACAGGGTTTTTACCCCTTCAGTTTCTCTGTGGTGTATATCACTTTACTTCAAACAATTGCTCACAAAACAGTGATCTCTCCCATCCCAGTAATTACAAGTATTATAATGACAATTGACAAGGGAAGTCCAATGCTATGTTGTTTAGGCAGCCCTCTGTCTGTTCTGTGCTGACTGAGAGGACCCTGTGGTAGCACTCTTAGCCTTTTGGCTAAGATCAAGGCAGAAAGCATGACCCTAATAAATCTGTGGTGAAGGAGCTGGGGTCAATGAGAATTTTTACAGGGAAAATGTTTGGGAGTTTCTGAATTCTTTGCCTGTTTACAGGAAGGCAGACAAAATGTTTAACTCAGATTCTTTTCTGAATAGTAAAAGATATAAATGCACCTATTGATTTTGTATATATTTCTTTTAATCTCCAGGATGAGCTGGATCTCACGGATAAGAACAGAGAGGCTATGTTTGCACTTCCGCCAGAGAAGAAATGGCAGATTTACTGCAGCAAAAAGAAGGTACTGTCATTGGTTTGATTTAAGGAACTAAACAACAAACTCTGTGCATGTGTGTAATTAATTATGTGCACGTGTGTACATATTGCATGTTTTATCCCTCCTGATCTAGAATACATGGTGAAATAGTATAAGGATTTTACTGGCATGAGCTTGGGGCATGTGTCTCCTGGGTAATAAAAGCACAAATGATTTATGAAGAACAGGTTAACAAGTTAAACTCTTTGTGCCTCACTACCCTACCATGAATCTTGTATATGCCACATTTTATAGGAAAACTATTTTGGAAATGTTTTAGGGAATTTTAAGAATCTTTTATTGCCTTGGTTACTGTGAATGTAATCATGGAGAGTTTGGAGATAGTGGAAGTATACATTTTAGGAACCTCTAAAATGTCTTAATATATTTTGTGATATCTATAATAAAAGTGGTGTTGTGAAGTCTGATATTTCGGGGTCTTTTTAAGCTAACAGCAAATATATGTCCCATTATTGAGAGACAGAGAGAGATCAGTTCATGTGAATTCTTAGGGTAACTTCTTCATCTGAGTAAATAGAAAGATTTTTAGATTGTTAGCAATTCAGAGAGACACCACCAGGACATGGACTGGTATCTAATTCCCGGTTTCCTCGAAAAAAAAAAAAAAAAAAAAAATAAAAACCAAAAACCAAAATGGTGTTGGGAACTATGACAGGTTCTATCATTTTTGTAAAACCTGCAAGGGAGCTACTCTACAAGTCATCTGCTGGATGCTAGTGGTATCCAATGGGAAATAAAAAGAGTGTTTGTTTGATGCTTTAGCCTGTGTTCATTGAAGAATTTTTTATTCCCCAAGCCTGTGTAGTCGCATCAAGAGAGCATAGATCTGTATCCCCATAAAAGGATAAGATTCCACTACGTCTGACAGAACAGTGAGCTCATACAATATAGGCTTATGGTTTCAGCACTGAAGATCCCAGGATCAAACCATAATGAGGACTCTACTGGAGTCATTATACTTGCTGCCTTTAACCCACTTATTCTGTGAATAGATTGAAGGCTTCAGTATCTGGGGCTGTCTACATGGTTCGTTTCCCTAGCACTAAAATTTACTTCTTAAGATGGAATTAAATAAAACCTTGCTCGATCCAGAGCGAGAGCATAAGAGATTGTGCATATGGGTTGCTCTTAGTTAAAACGTTTCACATAGAAAAGCAAACAGTGATGAATAATGTAGTAGTGTCTCAGAGCTAGCACTAATCCAGGAAGTTCCTAAGAACATCTTAAGCTTTGCAAATTCCACAAATTGGTGTATTCAGTGCCTTTCATTACCCCTCCTCATGGTGCATTGGGCGTGCACATGGAGGGAAGGTGCTGGATCCTATGATTAATGTCTGCTTTACATTTTT